ATCAATACCATACTTTAAATATACAAATAATGATAAAATAAATCCATCATCAAAACCATACTGTATATATCACAATACAAATAGCACAAAATCATATTAATATAAATAATACAATTAATAAACTAAAATTAAATTAAAATAAATGAATAATCACTAATAAAGCAATTCAAATCCAATTCGACATTTAGACCGTTAGGGGTCAGAGCTTCAGTTAAATATATCCATCTGGTTTCACACTTATATAGTTCTCTTATTCTATTTGACCCACGCCACATACAAGGAATGGCGTCAACTCCCCAGAATTTGATACAGAAAGGATCTCGATTATGATATTTAAGTGTTCTTTCATGGCAAGACCACTTACTGTTATCTCACATATATTCTTATAGCCAAAATTACCACCCTAACTCCTCCCACAGTTTTTACCTTACATACACAGTAATATACCGAAACGTGCGGATTGTTCCCGATTGGTGAGCTATTACTTTGTGGACCGTTTCGCCAAATGGTTCACAAAATATCGCCGTTTTTGTGGTGAAATTGGTCCCATAGGAATGAATGGCGGAATGTTCAAAACTAGAGTGGGAGCTGAAAAATCAGGCCATGATTTCTAAACTGCCATCACTCCCTCATTTTCAAGCCCACCTACACAAATCTTATATCAAAACGTTCAGCTATCCCTGCTGCCACTAAAAATGTTCACGGCTAAGCCATAGTCCTGATAGTTTTCACAATATGACCATTTGTTTGTAACTCACGCCGCCCATTGACATTCATTGAAACTCCACTCTAGCCACCTGAAATTTGAAGGGTAATTTCTAAACTGTGACTGTACCTTCATTTTTAATATTTCAGAGACATACTATACATCAAAATGAAAATGATTCTCACAATATAAAGCTCTTCAGTGTAGGATATAGAATTTTTAAACTACAACCGTTTGAAGATGGCAACCACCAGTGAAGTGAGCAAGTTGGAGCAGTTTGTTTTTAACTGCTCTTCTCTGCCCTTGCTGTAGAGTGAGTTGCCATAGGAACCCAGGTGTGTGAGCAGGCAGCAGAGTGACAAAAGCTAGAGTGCAGTCCAACCTTTTCACAGTTACTGCAGCCACTCCAACCACACAACAGTTACTCAAGCCACTCCACCCAGTTACTCTGCCCACTCCAGTTGTAGACTACTGGTGGAGGCAAGAACACTTCACACAATTTCCCCAGAAATTGTAGCTTTTCTAGTTTCAGTCCCCATTAGATCCAAATGGGGGAAAGATGCAGCATCTGCCTAGGTATATATATTTTATTTTTTTAAAGAACCAATAATTCTCTTTTAAAGGCAAAAGGCTGACTGTAAAAAGTCTTACCTGCAGGTGCCTTTGAAACAGCTTGAACTTGTGCCGTTTAGTAGATAATGGCTTCAGTTGCAGCAGATGATGTTAATGGCACAGTAAACGACTGGCTCCCCTCTGTGCATGCGTGAGATGCACTGCCCTTATACACTAGTTCTGCAGTCTCCTGAGAAATGTGAAGTGTCCCAGGAGGTTGTGTGGGGGAGAAGGTGGGCCTAGCCAAGAAAAGCAGGCGTAGGAGTGGGTACCTGTCGGAAATAGGTGTACACTGTTAAAAAAAAATAAATACAAACTTGCAATGGTAGAGGAGAGGGGGAGGAGAAGAAAGATAAGTGGACCTTCACTTTTTAAGTTAAGTTTCACTTAAAGCTCCAGGGGACCATTTACAATTTTTTATTTACTACCACTTCAAGGATAAACACTAAATAAGAAGTATAACTAGTCAGTATGGCTAATCAGACATGGCTTCAAACACCCCAATCCTCCTTCTCTGGTCCCCCGCCAGCCCGCCTGGCTCCTCCCACTTGACCGGTGCCATTAATAGCAAGCCGCTTGCTATGGGGTCACTGGTGCATGCTCACTCCCGAACCCTACTCTCTGTGTCCCTAAGACACATAGAGCTGTGGCTTGGCACCACACTCCACCCTCTTCTCATTGGCTCACTGGCTGTGATTGACATCAATGGGAGTAAATGAGGAGAGGGAGTTCTGGGACAGCTGAGGCACCTGTGCACATCGCTGAATCGAGAGGGAGGCTCAGGTGAGTATGGGGGGGGGGGGCTGTGGGGGGAGCAGCACCTTCATGTATAGAATACTCATGTATGTGTAACCTTCATAGGTTAAAAAACTTTCAGCCTTTATAACTGGCAGCACAGTGGCTAAATGGTTAGCACTTCTGCCTGGCAGTACTAGGGTCGTTAGTTCAAATCCCAACCAAGGCACCACCTGCCTGGAGTTTCCATGTTCTCCCTGTGCCTGCGTGGGTTTCTTAGGATACTCCGGTTTCCTCCCACACTCCAAACACATGCTGATAGGTTAATTGGATCCTGTCTAAACTGGGCCTAGTATGTGTATGCATGAGTGTAAGTTAGGGACCTTAGATTGTACGCCCCTTGAGGACAGCGACTGATGTGAATGTACAATATAAATGTAAAGCGCTGCGTAAAATAGACATTGCTATATAAGTACCTGTAATAAAAATAAATAAAAAATAAGCACTTGTTCTGTCCATTGCTAAACAATATCATATACTCAGATACGGGTGTGCCCAGAGAGCTGGCATTCAAGCAGAGTACAAACAGAGGTGACTCTCCTAATGGAGACATCGACAGGGCTGACTTGTCTTCCCCACCACAGGTAACGATAACAGTTGTTATATATTCCTATGGCTGTCATTTATGCTGATGAACGAGCCACTCCCCTCTCCCATACTCATTGACTGCCAAGGTTACTTGGATAACGAAGACTGAAGTCAGGATTCAGTGCCCTCTGCCTGTGTATGGTGACATCTTCTCTCATCCTCCCCACATCAGCATGCGCTGCGGGTGTGTCCAAGGAGACAGGGAACAAATGGTTGTGGGTATGTTAAACCAAGGCCCAGAAACTTCTTTGTTGTAGATGCAGCAGGAGCTGTGACAAGTCTTATGGGATTGTGCTGAGTGTGTGTGACAAACTAAACTGGACAGGTCTGGTAGTTGGACAGGACTTCCCTGTGCCCCTAATGGTCAGGTCTGGTATTGGGATAGTACCTCACTATGCCCCTAGTGGTCAGGTCTGGTATTGGGATAGTACCTCACTATGCCCCTAGTGGTCAGGTCTGATATTTGGATAAGACCTCACTCTGCGCCCTAGTGGTCAGGTGGGGTAGGACCTTTCTGTGCCCCTAGAAAGAAATTCTACTCATTTATGAGATGCCTGAGGCCTCATGCACGCTAGGCCTTCAGGCCCTGTGTGTTTTTGTGTGGGATGTAAGCATAGGTGCACCTTCCAGCCCCTATGCTAGAAGCATGAAAAAGTTTAGGGGAGGCTCAAAAATGCAGCCAGTCACCACACCAATGATACTAACATTTTTTTAGGGCATTATACACACAGGGATTAACATGCATAATGCAAGAAGTCATCTCTGGGCAAACGACATGCCTCCCAACATTGGAACTTGAGAAAGACATACTTTGCGGTGGAGAAGACATTAAAAAAAGATTCTGAAAATGATTGCTAAATATTGGGTGTGGCTTAAAAGGGCATGGTTTCATTACATGTGTGTATCTGAACGTAGTGAAACTTGGGCAGAAACTTAGCACTTTGACCCTATGCTGCCTGGAAAAGAAATAATTTAATATTTACCTATCGCATTCCCTACAGCACCCTACACCTCCATCCATTTGATATCACTAGCTGAGGATTCTTCTTCTAGCACACTTCTGGATATATAGGATGCTTTGTCCCCTACTGCGCTCTGTGGTTCCATCCACTAGTCTCCATGTCATGTAATGAGGTAAAGCAGGAGAAGGGACCACAACACACAGAAGGGAAACAGGAATACAAAAAGTCACCTCTTCGATTAAGTCCAATGTGAGCGAAACATGTCAGAGGGGCATGACTGATGGGGGATGTCTACTTCACAACGGAACAGAATGCAGTGTGCGGTGATACTTGTATGCTACATTATACCCAGAAGTGTGCTTGATGCTGAAGGAGAAAGGCCTTTTTCACACATGAGCAGAGGGGAAGGCCGTAAAAACTGTTGGCTAAGTACCACCTGTTAAACTTGTCCATGGCTTGCTATGGGGGCACTCGGAAGAGGGGAGGAGCCATAAAGGCCAGCAGGGGAACCGATAAGAGGATCAGGACTGCTTTGTGCAAAACCACTGCACAGACCAGTTAAGTAGAACATGTTCATTATTAAGAAAAAAAAATGCCTTTACAATCACTGTAATCATGCAGCATGACTTTTCATGCTGCATGATTGTGGGTGTTATATTAGAATTGGTACAATAAAGAAGTTGGCTCTTATCAGAGTGCAGTCATGCATTTCAGTTTAAATGTTACAGAGGCTATACCACAACTGAGAGCCAAACACTCGGCTTGCAGTCGCAGCACTGTCCCACAGTGTAAAATGGCAAAGCTCACATCACCACCACTCATACATCATGTGTTGTGGTATGCTAAAACAGGGTAATGTACATTTCTTTGATTCATTGTTGTGCATTGACAGAGGCTGCCTTAAAACAATGCATGTGAATATATGATTTAGCATACCACAATGGATCACTATAGTATGAATTCAGCCTCGCTCTGTGTCCTTTGGTCACTTAGCCTCTAGGTGTACGTTAATCCCGTTATAGCCTACACTGAGGGATATGTATACAAGGTAGCATACAAACTATCTTCATCATTTTCAAATATCAACACACTTTATTATAAAAAAAAATATATTAAAATAAAATATATATATATACATATACACACACACCAAAAAGCCTAGATTCCTTGTAAAAGTGTTTTCCAATTTTATACAAATTATCATAGTCAAGACCCATCAATGAAGTAAAATGGAAGCAGACAGAAAGTTCACAAAATAGGGACAATCTTATTTCAAATATTTGAAGAAAGTCTCTTAAAATTTTAGCATTCGTAAAATAAATTGACAATCTCCCACATCAAGACCACCAAAAACTGACAGAAAAGCTGATATCTAGAGCTCGGACATAATGCCACCATTTCACTGGGATGAATAAGATTTGTCCAGGACTCAGGATGCATTCTTGATAGATAGCTTGTTTAAACATAGGGAACTTCTCCAGGTCTGGATTTTCTATATCAACCTTTTAAAAGGAAAAAAAGCAAGTCGGGCACTCATAAAATTTCAATATCACATCAGTCTGTTAGGCTAGGTTGACACTTATGCATGTTGAGGTTGATGCTTTTTTGTGCTGCATTTTGCAGCGCAGTTTGAGTTTTTTTTTCACATACGTTTTGGGTGCATTTTGTATTTTTGAACTGTGTTAATGCTGCTAGGGAGAGATGCCTGTTATTATGCAGGAAATGCATTAAAAACACACGTACATGCATTTTGCAGGCATTTTTGATATGGTTCTATTTAAGTCTATTGAACCTAAAACGCAATCTGTTGTGGGTAAAAATTTCCTGACCCTTTCCAAGAACCGCACTGGCACAAAATGCACAGATGTCAACCAAAGCCATAGGAAATCTGCAAAACCAAGAAATGCACTGAAAACCGCATAAGTGTGAACCTAGCCTTAAAGAGAAGACAGAGGACTCACCTGGCTGGTGTTGTGAAGCAGGTTACTATCAAATGGGTATAAGTGTTCAGTCTCACTCACTGAGTACAAGCGGATAAACTTTCTTCCTACAATCTAAAAACAAAGCGAGATTTAGGTCTAATACATCATCATATAAAAAGCAGATGGAAAGTGAGCCTTTCTGAAGCATAAGTAAATCTTCATTCAAAAATGTTGGTCTGAAAAGTGTATTGCTCCAAATAGCAGAATACACACAGATAATAAAAAATATGTCAGTGTCATGCTGTACCATCCTAAATTAATAGAGGATACATTGGTTATGTATGTTCATATTTCAGGACTTAATTTAACCACTTGCCCTCTGGAATATTTTACCCCCTTCCTGACCAGGCCATTTTTTGCTATAGCGCACTGCGTTACTTTAACTGACAATTGCCTGGTCATGTAACACTGTACCAGTATGAAATTTATATCTTTTTTTTTCAACACAAAGAGCTTTCTTTTGGTGGTACTTTTTATTTTTTGCACTATAAAAGAAAATAGACCGACAACATAAAGAAAAACCATACACAAGCGCTCAAGTCAGTAAGCCTCCCAGGACCACAGTAACAGACGCTTGTTGGGGTGCAGCCCTCTAAAGATCAGAGAATCATTGATGGTATTGGAAGAAAGCAAAAGAGGTGCACTCTCCTTGCGCATTACCATGATTAAAAGGAATTTATTTAAAATGACAAAAGTGTATACTCACAAACCAAGACTCATAATACAAACTGTAAACCAGTGTGACAGTCCGAAAAAAACAATAATCTGACATCAGGTGTGCTAACGCATTTCTGGAGACGTACTCCCTTCTTCAGAGTTAAAGCAAACATACAAAGAGCAAACATATAGAAGAATAGGATTAAATGGGAGGCCAATTGAACAAATGATGCGAGGGGCCAAAAAGGCTCTTCCCCCTCAGGGTGATGAAGTCAACCAATCGGGAGGGGAGGAAAAAAGAAAGACGATATGACAGAACGTCCAATACGTGACAACTGCCATAAGCGGAATAGAAAAAAAAAATTGATAATAATATCCTATTGATAGGTGTAAGTGTTCATGATTTAAATACTGATAGTACTGGTACGACAATATAAAATTGACAATAAAATTTGAAATGTCAAATTTTAAAAAAGTAAAAACATAACAATGGCTGTATAACTTACTCATAGATGAGCCGATATTCATGAATGAAAAGTAGTGTAAAACAGTGAAGATGGCGTCCTCCATGTATGTGGAGATACCAGCATATCCAGCTGTGAATGAAAATGTGTGCGCAAACACTTACACCTATCAATATGATATTATTATTACTATCATTTCCTTTTTTTTTTCCCCCGCTTATGGCAGTAGTGAAACTAATACAGTAATCAGTGCTAATAATATACTCTGTAGTAATGACACTGGTTGGGAAGGGGTTAACATCTAGAGTTAAGTGTAACATCAAAGGGTTAAGTGTATGCCTAACAGTGTTTTTGTGTGTGACTTTTACTAGGGGATGACTGGTTTTTATTTCCTGCTTTGCAGGGAAGCAAAAATCGGCACATCCCCACTGACAGGGCAGAGTCTCTGTATTGTTTACATACACAGAGATATATCCTGTCAGCCTCCTCGCGGATCACCGAGCCCCGGCTGTCAATCATTGGCCGGGACCCACTGATCGGCTTGTGCTGTGTCTAAGACTAGATTTTCTTTAGACGTGTTACAGATTCCTATTTCACAGGGGGACATGGCACTACTGAACCTTAGAATGTACTATTATGCTGCCCAGTTGGTATATATTCATTGGTGGCTATTTCCACAACCCGCAGCTGTGGCTTCCTCTTATGAGACCCTTTCTAATCTTATATTTAAACATGTTCTCCCTACTGCTGAGGGCATCGCCACATTAAAAAATGTCTCTGCAGATATATAAACAGTGTCTCTCTTTGCCGTACGACAGCTCTCATTTACGCTCTCATAACCAGCCCCTTTAGTACAACCCAGATTACCCCATCTTTTACACATTACAAGATGGTCTGTTGTGGGCAAAGTGTGGCCTTATTTATCTACATCAATGAGATCACACGGGTACGTTTAAAACCTATCTGACCCTACGCCAGGAATTGGGGATCCCCCTCACTAGCATTTTAGATATTTACATTGAGCCGTGCTGCAGAGACACAGTTCGGGCTCCGAGAGGTGCAACTTTCAAATTCTACACTTGAAAAGACTCTACTCCGCTCGACTCATACACGTCTTACCTCTCATATTCTATTCTTCCAATGAGTAAACCTTCCCCTCATTTATCTAAACTTTAAAAAACGCTGGCTAGTAGATATTGCTGACATGTCTGACAAGAAACTGGCAGGAACGGTTTCATTCATACCCTTCCACAGTAATCTCTGCCTGGGATAAGCTTGTTCAATGACACTATTTACACAGGCTATATTATACCCTACAACCTTTATTGTATATGCAAAGAGGGGACTCACCTCTGTCATAAATGTGCTAAAGAAAATAGTGACTTTCTGAATATAGTGTGGTATTGTGACCTTTTTGGTCGAGTATTACAGTCTTTACAGCTGATACCTTTGATTTCCCAAATATTTGTAACCCTAAATGGTGCTTATTGAGTGTGTTTGAGGACCTAGACATCTCTATCACATCCAAACAGTTCTTGAGGCACTTGTTATATTATGCTAGGAAATTAATAGCTCTCCACTGGCTTTCCTCTCTGCCTCTGCATATAGGCTTGTGGAAAAAAATTAACCAAACCTTGTCTCTGTACAAGCGGACATATGAGGCTAGAGGGCGTCCGGGAAGTTTTATAAAATTTGGGGACCCTGGCTAGATACACAGGACACTGCAGACTCTCCTTTTCTTCATAGCAGAGTCTACACCATAGTTCCCTTATTTGTGTATTGTCATGATGGCTATAGTTAATACTTCGCCAACACACGGTTTAATAAGCACAGGTGGGACTTGGTTGACAGGTTTTTGGGCACAGGCCTTCCAGCTTATTGCTTACAACATGGGTGAGCACAGTAATGACCCTTTTTCTCTGGGGGTCGAGCAAGAAGAAGATGGCAGTGCTGGGGACCAGGGAGAGTTGTGACACCACAGCACAGCAGGGCTTCGTTTTCGATAAGTCTGTTATATTGTACTAGTATGCAGTACACACTAGTACATTACGGCTTAAACTTGCCAGTGGACTCATTTGTTTTCTTTAACCACCTTCCACCCACACTATAGTACAATGACAGGCGCAAGGTGGTTCTCTCGTTCTGATAGGACGTTATATGACGTCCTACCATTCTCACTGCGCATGCGTGGATCAGGGAACGCGCAGCGCGCGATCACCGTGCGCTGTGTCCCTCGGACACAGCGGATCACGGAAAGAGCTGAGATGTCCGGCTCGTCATGTGATCAGCTGTGTCCAATCACAGCTGATCACATGTAAACACGGAAATGCCGGTTATCGGTATTTCTCTCCTCTCGAACTGTCACGCTGACAGCTCGAGAGGAGGAGAGCTGGTAATCGGCTTTCCGCGGAGGGGACATGTACACTGATCATCAGGGCACTGATGATCAGTGTGCCCCGATGATCAGTGTGGCCCCAGAAGGGCCACCTGTCAGTGCTCATCAGTGCCACGTGCCAGTGCCTATCAGTGCCAGTGCCCATCAGTGCACATCAATGCCACATATCAGTGCCCATCTGAGCTGCCTTTCAATGTCACCCATCAGTGCCACCTATCAATGCCAATCAGTGTCACCTATCAGTGCTGCCAATTAGTGCCACCTATCAGTGCCAGTCAGTGTCGCCTATCAGTGCCAGTCAGTGCCACCTATCAGTGCCAGTCAGTGCCGCCTATCAGTGCCCTATAAGTGCCATATATCAGTGTCATGTATCAGTGCTGCCTTTCAGTACCCATCAGTGATGCCTGTCAATGCCCATCAGTGCAACCTACCAGTGCCTCCTCATCAGTGCCCATCAGTGCAACCTATCAGTGTCCATCAGTGCAGCCTATCATGCCCATCACTGCAGCCTCATTAGCGCACATCAGTGAAGGAGAAAAATCACTTATTTACAAAATTGTATAACAAAAACTAAGAAAAAACTGTTTTTTTTTTTCAAAATTTTCAGTGGTTTTTGGTTTGTTTAAAAAAAATAAAAATCCCAGAGGTAATTAAATACCACCAAAAGAAAGCTCTATCTGTCACAAAAAAAATTATAAAAATTTCATATGGGTACAGTGTTGCAGGACCGCGCAATTGTCATTCAAAGTGTGACAACGCTCTGAAAGCTGGAAATTGGCCTGGGCAGGAAGGGGGTACAAGTGCCTGTAAACTAGTGGTTAAAAGGAAGAGTTTACTACCACTTTAAGCTGACCATACTCAAGTTTCAAATGATTCAACAGGTTCAAGCTGTTGATGGCCCTGTTGACACTGACCTGAGCTAGGAAATTCTGCTGAGGGTCTTGGTGAAGAGGGGAAACTGTTCCAGCAGGTCCAAACCAAGCATTAATAGTAATGTCATCTTCATCTCCTTCACCGAGGCAACAATATTCAGGAACTCCAATATCCTCCTTCAGTTCATGTATCTTCCCACAACAGAAACACAAGAGACAAGGTTAAATGATTGCTGTAACCACATAAATACCAACACCTTGCACACTACACTGTATTTATTTTTCTATTTCTATTCCAGAATCGAAACCACATATTTTTACATGCGTGCATTTTACAAAAGTGTGCTACATGGAAAGTGATACAGATTTGCTGGTCAGGGCCAATGTTCAGTGACAACTTTCTCTTCCTGATGGATAGATGAAAAGACCCGGTGTCACAAGTTAGCCTACAGCCTCTTGTTTGTTTATTCTTACCTCCTTGCTGCTCCTGATTCCTTCACATGTGTTTTGTCTGTGCTCACCTGTGGGCGTCGTCTGCTATCCTCTGGGTTTTATTTCCTTCCCTTCCATCACTTCCTGGCTGCCTCCTAGTTTGCTTGTCTATATAAGACATATTAAGTCTAGCCCACTTTGCCTGAGCAACATGTTAGTTGTTGGAGCTCCCTTGTGTTTCTACTGTGAATCCTATTTTGTCTATCTGTGTACCGACCCGGTTTCGTTCCTGTCCTTGCTTGTTTTCTCCTGTCCTGACCTTGGCTTGCCTACTGGATTCCCTGTGTCTTCTCCCGTTGTACCCTGCTCCCGCTAGCGGTCTCCTCTACCTCAGCTGGGTGTACTGGGGGCCACGACCTGGTCCCAGCCTTGCTGCAAGTCCATCCCCACCATCAGGGGCCCTGGTGAACAAGCAGGCTGGGGCTTAGACTCCGCGCCCTGGGGAACCCCAAGTTGTGGATCAAAGAGCTCACTACCACAGGTGCTGACACCAGGTCACAAATGGTACAACCTCTGACAGCAGCCTCTCAACACAGACTCGGGATATGTAACCTGATTAGCGATGGGCTTTTGTTCAGGAGCACATTTATGCAGGGACAGGATTGATAGAAAAGCTGGGTATACACTAGTACAATTTCATATTGCACTGTATGTGAACAAAAAAATCCTCTTTTTTAGCAATATTTGCTAGAAAGCGTAATTTAGTGCTAACATTAGTTACACCCCCTTTAGCACCTGATGGGTTAGATCTATGCATAGGCTATTTGGATTTGAGCACAGGTATAGCTTGTTTCTATTGCAGTGTAGGCCACCGTCCAGATGTGAACATGAAGCTCTCCTAGAGCTTGTGTCTATTTGCCCCATACTGGTACTATGTCCACTGAAGCATTTGCATTTTGCAGAGTAGAGTAGGGACTGGCTAGAGAGGATTACTTTTATGTAGTTGGCCATCATAAGCATATACTGCAATATACAGCATGTGAACTGAAAATCCCTGTTTTTGTGCAGAGTTTGCTAGAATGGATGTATGAGTATAGCAGTGTGCAGAGGGTCCATTCAGATTTCTAGTAGAAAATTAGTTCACAATCTTAGGTTTCAATAACATTCATTTGACTTTCTACTTGTTAGTGGAGTCAAATTGAGGTTTATTTTTGACCACAGTGACCAGAAAATTTGAAGGAGCAGGATAGCAAATTTTCCTTGAATTAACTGATTTCTAAAAGTGTATATGGTTTTCATTTGGAAAAGTCCATTCAATTCGTATTCAAATGTTTAAAACAAACAAAATTTTGAAATATTTTTGAGTGACATGCATCAAGTTGTTGATTGTACTGATAATTTTCGTACTAATTTTCCAATGAGTTTTTCATTGAAATTCTACTAATGTATACCCAGCTTTAGTGAGATGTACTTGCAGAGGGCTTATTGGCATCTATCACACCAACAAATGACAATCACAGACTTCTCTATGGAATAAATGGTATTTTTTACATGTATGTGGAGAAGTAAATGGCCAGCCAAGAGAGTTTCCAAAGGCAGCTGTGCATACCTGAGGGCCACACAGTTTGGATGTGGCAGGAGCATAAAACGATGTGCATAAAGCCCATGACATAGTACAGTGATTGCTGTTTTTCTGAATTAGAAGAACACCTGTCACCACTACAGCACAAAGAAAACTGTTTTCTAGTTGCTCCATTAACACTGCAAAGCCTGGAGGTGTGGTGCAGTGAACTGAATCGCACATCACACCACCCTCTAACCACAGCTAACTACAAATAAAACTCACAATTGCCAGCACAAAACCACTGGTTTAGTGTGTGGGCAGTGTAAAAAGGCCCTAAGACTTTGATGGGTGCTGGGGGCAGGAAAGGGGATATATGAAAGGACAGTTATCCTTTAAATCCCTGTAACATAGCAGATGAGCATCCTTTAGTAATGTTCTGCAGTGGAATGTAAGAGGTTAAAGGATAAGTTCACATTTGTAAAATAAAAAAAATTAATAAATGCAAATCTTTTTTGCAGGTAAAAAAAAAAAAAAGTGCATTTATTTCGTTTTTTTGTTTTTTTAATAGGAGCCTGCAAAGCATTGCACCTGCACAGGCAGGCAGTTACACGACAGGAAGAATCAACTCCTTAGAGCACTCACCAGTGCCCTGGTAGTTCGCTGAAAACTACAAGCCGACGGCCACAAAGGCTGTCGGTACTTGTAGCTTATTCATTCACAGAACTCTGTGAACAAAAGACGCGGCCAGGCGAGTGCGGGGAGAAGATCCTCAGCTTATGTCACAACGGGGGATCGGGCAGGGGGTGGGGGGTGTGTGGTGCAGGGGCTGCTGCAATAGTAACATGTTACACCCTAAATACAGGTGTAACATGTAACATATTACAAAAGGTGAACTTATCCTTTAATATTCTAATCCTTAATATTGTAATAGATGTGCAATTATATAAAGCAGAAGAAAACAAAGTGCTATTTAGTAGGTTTATAATGTGTGTGGTGATTAGAAAAATATATGTATATTCTATTGTGGCTATTATATTTAAAGCATTGGAAAGTCCAAGAGTTAACTACTTAAAGTGGTTGTAAAGGCTGAAGGTTTTTTACCTCATGCATTCTATGAATGAAGGTAAAAAACCTTCTGTGTGTAGCAGTGCCCCCAGCCCCCCAATACCTTTCCTGAGCCTCATCGCGATCCAGCGATGTTAATGACAGGCTTGGCTGTCCCAGATCTCTGTTTCCTAATTGGCTGAGACAACAAGTGGGAGCCATTGGCCAGTCAGCCAATGAGGAGAGGGTGCAGGGCCAAGCCACAGCTCCACGTGTGAATGGACACACGGAGCAGCGGGTGCCCCCATAGCAAGCTGCTTGCTGTGGGGGCACCCAGCAGACAGGAGGTGCCAGGAGAGCCTGCAGGGGACCTGAGAAGAGGAGGATCCAGGCTGCTCGGTGTAAAACCACTGCACACAGTAGGTAAGTATAGACATGTTTGTTATTTAAAAAAAAAAACCTTTAGAATCGCTTTAAGGAGCAATTTATTGTTCAGGAAGAGTATGGTTTTCTAAACGCATGAGACTTATTTGTTATAGGAAGCTCACAACAAAGATTAGTACCACTCAACAGAAATGCATGAAGGCTACCACTGCTGACCTTTACGAAAATGCTAGTTGTGTGGCTGTCATACTGATGCTTTGGTTTTATACATTCAGGCTGATTTACTAAAGGATCTGGGAATGTTAACACAAATTGTGTGAGGATTCACTTTAATTATCCAGTCACGCGCGGATGAAATAAGTAAACGGATTTTCTTTTGACACGATTGGATGACAGAAGTGAATCTTCACATGGTTTATTGAGTGAACCTTCTTAACCACTTCCAGCCCAGGGCAATTCTGACATTTCTCATACACATATAAAATATGCATTTTTTTTGTTGAAAAACTACTTAGAAACCCAAACATTTTTGAAAGCAAAGGCCCCGGAGAACAAAATGGTGGCTGTTGCAATTTTTTATGTCAAAGGATTCAGTGGTTTAATTTAATGAAAATTTTCAGGAAAAAAATACACTTTAATAAAATTTAAGTGCACACAAACTCAACAGAACAGCCACTTTTTTGGTAAAATATAATGTTAGGTATCTATTTAACATATAATCTTAAACAAATATCTAACATGTTGCATTTTAAAAAATTGCACACACACAGGTCTAGGATTCTATGGTTTATAAATATGGTATCTCTTCTTACTCCAGCCCCATGGCTCCAATAATTGGAAATCCAGACTTCCCACCTGTAATGACTTGCAGTTGTTTTTTGAGATGGCATGCCTCATCCCCGTTCTGTCAAGCAATAAACTCTGAAGGAATAAAACCCTTACATGCCCTCATAAGCCCTGCCCTTCCGCACCATGGCAGATGGCACAGCTACTTCCAGCTTAGACACTTCTATGCCCAACAGGACAGAAGCAGCCTCCTAACGCCATTCAAAGATATTTGTCTTCCTGCCTCAGATTGCTTTCATGCCATTTAGAAACTTTGCTTTTCAGCATTTTCCCTGGAATGTCACAACATTTTCGCCCGGGACTATCACAACATTCCAGATCAAAAACATCTCTTGTGATAGCATGGGTAGTGACAGGCACAATATATGAGGAGATCTGGGGTCTAATAGACCTTTGGCCTCCAAAGCAGCCAATGAAACCGAGATCAATTTGATCGGCTGCTTCACCAGCCAGTAACAGCTAGTAAACAAACCGAAACCGGGAAGTGACTAAATCCTCGTTGCCTTCTGTTTCTTACATCACAGAAAAGATCGGAGAACAGAAGTGCCTTCTACTCTAAGTGCTTCTGATGTGACAGGTCGGGACCCCCTTCTACCGCCTGGGTGGCTCTTTAGCCTTTTGAATCACGTTTTACATAAAAAAGAATCACTGCCTTAAAATTTTTATATACTGTACACTGAAACCCAACGGTGTACCGGTAGGTCCTATTGCAGGAAATGGTTAAATCATTGAGGCTCTGTTCACATCTAAAAGTTGCAGTAACATGCATTAGCATGTATGTACTGCGCATTGGTATACAAAAAAAAAAAAATACATCCCCTATTTTGGTGTGATTTTGGTGGGCAAGGCAGCCCATTCAAGTGTCACCACAGCACAAAGATGTGAACCTAGCCTTGGGAAATCAGCCTCTGTGAGTCACTGACCTGGAACAAGTATAGAGAGAAGTTCTGACACTTTTCTAACACTCATTTACAACATGCTAGTTCTGGGTCAGAGACTGAGACAGAAACTGTACTGATACCAGACACAGACAGGCAAGTAGCATTTTAAGGTGTAGACAAGTGATGGCCCCATTTGTCTCTCATGGCAACACCGCTTTAAAAAGGCTGAGTTGAGTTTAAGCCCTGTGACTCCTGCTGCTAAACCACAACTCTGTCATTTATCTTTTAAATGACAGAGCCTTCACCACCCATTGAAATTTTGGCATTTGAGTTTTGAACAGAAAGGATGGAGAAGGAGAAAGAGAAAGAGTGGTGCAGTAGTGGCAGAGTTTCATCATGACTGGGCAGAAGTTACGGCCACACACACAGCTCTGGCCTGGGACACAATGCCATCCTCAGGAATTGATTTAAGTATAGATTTAAAGACACAAATACTTGATGCCACTAAAAGCTGCCTTCAGTTTACAACTATTGTTATCCTAGGTACATTTTAGCCAAGATCAGATCACTTCGAAATTCCCGACTTTAGTTTACATTATTTTGTCTCTGCTCATTGAGTAATGCTTGTTAAAATGTCTACCCCATTATATATTATTAACACAACATAATTCAGATTAAATGTGCCAGATCAGCAGACTGAATGCAGTAATCTCTCATTACCTGATCAAACAACTGATGTTGGGCCAGATATCCCATGCGAGTTGGCTTTCAAAACAAAAAGAAAAGAATAAAATATTGTTACAGTATAAATCAAGATGGAAACAATAAATCACATAGCTAAGTTTATTTCTGGAATTGTCTGAAGTGGACCTGCCAAAACGATTGAAGAGCATCTCAAGATTACTAGTCAGGAGCTGATCTTCTAATATCCAGCAAACTATGTAGATATGTCAAAATCATAAAGTCCTTCCACTGCAACTTACTCTAAGCTTAAAGTGATACTAAAGGTTTGTTTTTTTTATTATTCAAAGAAATAAAGATGTTATACTTAATGCTCTGTACAATGATAATGCACAGATGGGTCACTGATCTCTTCTTCTAGCAGTCCCCTGCCGATGCAGTCTGCTCCTCCTTCAACCGGGTGCCCCCTTAGCAAGCCAGGTGCTATGTAGGCGCCGTTCACTCGTGCCCCTAACCGGGCTGTGTGAGTCTATAGATGCAGACAGTATTGGTAAATCACACCCAACTCAGTCCTCACATGAGTTTGACTGACAGCAGCAAGAACCTATGGCTCCTACTGCCCTCAGTGTCTCATGTGAGACCAGGAAGTGAGGGGAGTGATGCTGCAGCTGAGACAGTGCTGCAGCAGTGACAGGCGTCAGGTAAGTGTTTAGGGATGGGGTAGTTAGGATAGGTAGGGAGTTTTTTTTACCTTAATGCAGAGAATGAATTAAGGTTAAAAAAAAAAAAAAAACCCTTTTAACTTTAGAACCACTTTAATACAACATATTGAACCAAGACTCAGAGATGTCCTCAGTTTCTTTCCTGGCAAGAAGAAAATCCCTAGCTACAGGATTCTATGTAATTTCCTTTCTCTATTAGGTAAACCCCCCGTTTTTCATGCAACACACTTGACAGTGTCAAAGTGGAATTCCAGCCGGAGCTGTTTTTGTAGTACAAGGTGGAATTGGGGAAGGTTTAAAACCCCTTTGGGTTTTTTTTTTTGTGCTGTATCACGCAACGACATCTGAGAGGAAATCTCCCTAAGGTGAGGGCAAAATTTATGTTACCAAAACAAGTGTTCTATCGGGTAGATTTATCTACAACAAATAAGGAATGTGTAAAATGCCTGTGATTGCAAAAAACCTCACCTACACATTCAGAGATTATATGTAATAAGGGCATCTTAAACACTTGGGGCCATAGTGCACAACCTCCATATCTGGATGGAGAAAAGAAGCCAATGGCAGACAAGCTGAAACACAAATGCAGTAAAAGCTGAAGTTTAGTTGGAATATATTTTTCCCCTCATGCTCCTCCCTGCACCCTCATCAACATGGTAATACAATTTTTACATAAAACTTTGTTGTTCCCATTACATATCCTATTTTAGACCCAGAGATGTCATCATTACATCTCTGTGCTTCTCTATGTAATACAGGGAGATCATGCCTCGTATGCAAGGCCAGAAGGGTGCTCTACAAACTTTCTGAAAGTATTACAGCACCCTGCCTCAGTGCTCCTCTCAAGTATCCTCAGCCCCGATGTAAGCAGTGGGCTGACACATGGTAAGAATAAGCAAACATCTAAATGCCTTCACAGACAGATGTTAGTATGGAGTAGCTGGATGGCTGCATCCAGGCTGCCCTAGGTAGTACCCAGGTGTGATACTGAGCTATCATGACTGAAAGAGCTGATCCAAATCTAATGAGCAAAAGAGGCACCCCACGGACAGTAAGGCTTAGGAGGAGAGGGATAAATAATGTGGGGCCTCCTCCAGCCAAAACAAAGGAACAGGTTGTATCTAACTTGCTGCAGCTTGTAATGCACTATGCGAGAAGCTCCCAGTGTGCAGTGAAATCAAAGCAAGCAATTTCAGGACAGGAGAGAAGACTGTAACAACTGTGCAAAACTGCAGGTAAGACTGGAGTTCAGCTTTAAGGCAAAGAATGATTTTCTGCAAGGGAAGTCCAGTTAAAGTACACCGGGACTACCACAAAGGTTCCTAAACTAACAGCGCTGCTATATTTAATTCTTTGGAAAGTTCCTACAGGTGCAGAGTGTGAGCACTCCATAGGAAGGGTGGTGTGCAGAGTTTATGCTTGGGCCTGCCCAGCAAGATTTGACAAGCAGCTGTGTGGTGCCGACAAGCTATACAGCCGATATCTTCTTGCTGCATATGGGACAGGTGAGGCTGACAGAGGGGCTGGGGATGTGCAGTACTACTACCACAAAGGTCCAGGTACATTTTATAGGATGAAAACATTTTTTAACAGTTCAATTCTGCAAATAACTCCGTGACTGGTGGAAGCTGATAGGGGTAATCACCTGTTGGATTCATTTTAGGATGCATTCACATGACTGTAAAAATGTTACTTATGTTATTACACGTGTTTTCTAGAACAGTTCCTGTGTAATGATCAGTAAAATAGATGCGTTTCAATCTATAAAGACGTGTGCTGTTATGAGAATTTATTTTGTCCCTTTGTTTAGACCTAATCTATGCACTTACAAACGCGTTTACATGCATTTATACACATAAGTGTGTAAAGCACACATTCTTAGATACAGATTTTTGGATTCTGTATTATGGATCTGAAAGCAGCTCATGCTTACACACCAGTGTGAATGGCTCAATTGAAAACAATGCAGCTGCATTCAGATCTGTAAATAAAAAACACTTGTATGTGTATTTTTTACGGAAATGTGAATTAATCATAAAACTTGAATAACCAATAGGAGAAAACTTCCTGGTAGAGTTCCTTGCCCTCCATCCCCACCACACTTCCCAAATAAGTCTCCTTTAAGAAAAAAACAAACACATAAGTGAGCGGAAAAAAGGTTCTTTGCTGTTGAAAGGTCCCCACCCAGTCCCTAGGAGAGAACAGATGACAAATCTACCAGCAAGCATCTGTGTAAAACAGAAATATTAGCTTGGGTCACATTAAGCCTTTGATTATCTCCATGAAGATGTTAAACTGTAGAAAGCAATGGTGCTTGAGTAGTATTACATACCTGATCCAGTATGTATCTATTAATAAACTCATTAACAGTCATCAGCTTTTGAGACCATTCTGCATCAGTGTATCTGGATCCCAGCTCCACGGGTACAGTACGGCATCCAGCCACTTGCTGTAAGTATTGAATGCTGTTTTAAAACAAATGCATTGTTAGAAATCTACAATTAGGACTGGTGAATCACATACTATTTCATAGACAAATCCGGCTAAATAAATCTTTATTGGGAACAATGAGAGATACACACACACACACACACACACACACACACAGTGTATATATATATATATATATATATATACATATATATATATATATATATTTTAATACAAATGAAGAGTGTTCATATTGCTTGCTAAAAAAAAACATTTTGGGCGAAATTAACAAAAAAGTAAAAATAAAAATTGGGAGTTTCAAATAAAGAAATACAGCTTTGGTTGAACCACATGTCCTCAGTCTCCTGGTCTTATTTACAACCAGTGTCATTCAACCTGGAAGACTGAGGAAATTCTTTGAGTGCAGAGAACTGGCCTCCTAAGGAGGTTATCACCACAGCACTGTGCATTGGCATATGAAGGCGCATAGAGCAGAAATGACAATCACATCAACACCAGCTCTTCCAGCTCCCAGAATGGCAAACATTCAAATAATATAATTGGAAACGCTCAAATTAAAAAGCGTTAGAACTCCATGTTACAGAGGAGCTGATGCGAGGCAGTGTGGCTTCCATATATATTTGCAAATGTGTGCAACTAAAACCCCAGATTTTGCCATAAATTGTTAGCGTTTTTTTTTTTTTTTTTTTTTTTGCAGGCTAGCTGGTAACTGTGCTGGGAAATCTTCTCTTTGTTTGTATTGCAAAATGCCCTTTTTGTGTACCTTACTTCAAAGGCTAGTTACAAATTGGGGTGTTTGCCATTCTTCTACAGCTTCTCACTGGATTTGGCATGGGGACACATTGAACATCTTCAGCTGCCATTGGGTTCTTGCTGGGCATCTAATGTGTCCTTGCACCATTAAGGAGCAGTGTGCTCCCTTTGGGCCATAACAGTCACAGTAGTCATATGTTGATGCTGTACTGCACTGTTGATAGTATGTACGAAAAAAAAAAAAAAAATTGTAAAAAAATTTTAATTTCATATTTTTTTAAAAATTGTGACAAAAAAATTACAACTTCAAAAAACTTGCTATGCCTCTTACCAAATACCACAGACTGTCTACTTTCCAAAAAGGGTGGTCATTTGGGTGGTAATTGTACTGTCCTGCTGTTTTAGGGCCTCAATAAATGAGATAGGCCATCAGTACATCAGGATTGATCAAATCTATATAATCATTGTTTATAGACACCATAACTTTCACACAAACCAATTAATATACACTTATTAAGGTTTTTTTTTTTGTTTTTTTACCAAAGACATGTATCATAATACGTTTTGGCCTAAATTTCTTTATAAATTATTATTTTTTTTATTTTCTTATTGCATATGTTTTATGGCAGAAAGTAGAACATACTTTTTTTTTTTTTTTTTTTAAATGTTCAGACTTTTTTGTTTATGTAATAACAAAAAACCCAGTGGTGATCAAATACCACCAAAACAAAGCTCTATTTGTGTTAAAAAAATTGATATAAATTTAATTTGGGTACAGAGATGTGCCTATGTGTGCAAGCCCATTAAAAGCATTACCTAAAGAAGTGGCAGTTTTGGCACCTTTGTGGAAAAAGCCATAACATGTTTCTGGTAGTGGGAGCTGTAGAGGTTTAGCCTGCCTACAGGCAGAATGAAGCATACAGAGGTCCTGAAAAGTGTACTGATAATGTTCAGTAACCAAAGAAGCTGCCTAAATGTAATAGCAAATATTGTTATTATCCTGCCTATGCAGTTTAAAGGGGATATCCATAAAAAAAAAAAACTGGCTGAAGAGAAATAGGCATATTTTTGGATGGTAAAACGGGTTGCACAAACAATGATTTCAAACAAGTATTTAGTTGTTTCAATGGAGTCCTGTACTGTGGAACTATTATATGAAAAGGGCAAGCATATGGCAAATACTTAGTATTGCTTGTAGGCTCGCTCCTGCTGATCTTTTTCCTATTACTGGCTTACCATGTATTGTTCTGTACTGTGTCTGTGTGCCAGCGGCCATCTAAGTAGAAGAGCAAGGCTGTGCTTCTTCATACCGGAGCTGATCCTTTGATGACTAGTGATCAGATTACTGGTGGAAGAAGCAAAAGATCACAGGAGGAACAAAGCAGAAGCAGGGAGATCCTTGAACTGCAGGTCCTTTATTTCCTCTCCAGCAAACCCTCAGGGAACAGTGAGCACAGCAGTTTTATTCCAAATCTCGTGAGACTAGAAGTCAGACAGCAGTGCCTATGATGATCTTATACTGCAATATACAGCTATTTGCGTACAGAATAGGAGTGCCTAGGCACAGTTGCTATCAGCAAATGCACTGCTGTTTTTCAAACAAGAGAAACATTTTTCAGGTTACTGCTGAGGCCCAATTTCTAGAGATTTCCCATAAAATAGCAAACCTTCACTTTTTGGGGTCAAGTCTACTATATACTTTAAAGTGGTTATAAAGGCTGAAGATTTTTTGCCGGTATGCACGCATGTAAAAAAAACCTGTGTGAAGCAGCCCCCTCAATAATTAACTGAGCCTCATCGCGATCCATTTATTTGAATGAGAGCCTCGGCTGCCCGGGTCTCTGCCTCCTCATTGGCTGAGACAGCAAGCAGGAGCCATTGGAGAGAGGGGGCAGGGCCAAACCATGCCTCCGTGTGAGAATGGACACACAGAGAAAAGGGTGCCCCCATAGCAAGCTGCTTGCTGTGGGGGCACCTGACAGACAGGAGGAGCCAGAAGAGCCTGCGGGGCACCCAAGAAGAGCAAGATCCAGGCTGCTCAGTGCAAAACCACTGTACACAGTAGGTAAGTATAGACATGTTTGTTATTTTACAAAAAAATAAAAAATTAACTTTTAGAATCGCTTTAAGACCTTTTTTTTTTATTTATTTATATTAAACTAAAGTAAGCAAATACTAAGGAACTTACCTCCACTTTTTCATGCATGGCCAGTGATCAATGACCCCTTCTAAGATTACAGGTTTCTCTGTGATAAGGAAGTTCTTTCTAAAATGCTCAAGGGAGGGGCAGTTGAGAATTGGAACAGTGGTGCCTACATTCAAGATGGGGGTGAGTGGGCGAGGAATTTTCTGTAAAGAATAATATTTATATGTTACCAAAACTTCTGTTTAAACCTCATGTAAAATGTACACATGGAATTGTGTTAAACACACATACGGTATATATTTTTTGTAATTAGAAATAAAAAGATTTGAACCACTACAGTGAAACAAGAAACTTTGAATAGAATCAAAAATAAAAAATGGAGATGATGCATATACTGTACCTCTGGGATTTTGCCATTTTCTGGTTCAGTTTCCATTTCTCCCCTCATTATCTATTGGTCTCTTCTGTCTCCTAGATAGGGGACCTAGGCAACCAAAACCAAATAAAATCAACTTTACTGTAGACATTTGGAGCTTGTTGTTACAAAATACTGGACAGCACGGAGCAAACATAACAAGCAGGGATGAGCTCAGAGTCCCCACACCATTATAGGTTCCCTTTTAGGCCAAGTTTACACTTGATTGGTGTGGGTGATTGGGAGTGTGGGACGGCATGTAAATTCACACCTGTTCCTGTACCCGCAGTCAAACCACTCTGCTCTTTTGCAGAAGTGCAGAGCTTCCATTCATTTTTAATAGCACACCCCCCCATGCACCTGAAAACGAAGCATGTTTTCGGTTGCAGAAAATTGCATAGTACACAAGCATTGGTGTGAACCTAGCCTAAATCTGCTGCAATGCAATATAGTCAAATCTTCACTTTCTTGAAACTTGTTAGGAGGGATGAGCTCAGGAGTGTTCATATACATGCCCCTTGTATACATGTGGCTGCAGAGGGGAGAATGCCTCCACAGCCTATAACTGGCTGTCTGCTTTGAGTTGCAGTATTTTTAAAAGGAATCTTTGGTGGTTTGGGGGATCTGATAAGCCATGATATTATAAACCACCCAGCATAACACATCGAGGCATGGATGTCACTAGACATCTGAAGGTATGCTGTAATATCTGGCACAAAGCCGTCGTCAGTAGCAGATATTTGAAATCTTGTAAGTTGCAAGGGGCTTCCATGAATCGGACAGGTTTTTCCAGCGCATTCCACAAATGTCTGATTGCAATGAGATCTGGAGAATTTGGTAGCAACAACTCAAATTTGTTGTTGTGTTCCTCATCCTCTATTGGATTCATCAGACCAGGCCACCATCTTTCATTGATCCATGGTCCATTTCTGATGCTCATGTGCATATGTTAGCTTTCCGCTGTAAACATGGGTCAGCATGGGCACCCTGACCGATCTGCAGCTACACACCCCATACACAACAAACTACGATTCACTATGTGTTCTGGCACCTATCAGAACCAGTATTAGCTTTTTGGGCAATTTGAGCTACAGTAGCTCTTCTATTGGATCGGACTATATGGGCCAGCCTTCACTCCCCACGTGCATCAATAAGTCTGCAGACCAGGAACATCCTACAGCTGAAGTTTTGGAGAAGCTCTGACCCAGTCATCTAGCAATTACAATTTGTCAAAATCACTCAAATCTTTACACTTGCTCATTTTTCTACTTTTAAGACATCAACTTCAGGGACATCATCTTCACTTGCTGCCTACATTACAGTATATATGTAAGGAAATTCCCGTGTGAGACGGCTGGTGAATAGACGTGCGCATGTGCACAGAAATGCATGATCGTGCACGCACGGTGAAGATTGGCGCCACACGACGGACTATTTAAAAGGTGCCTCTGCCTGTGCTGAGTGCTGACTGGTCTTCAGCTGTTCCCCGTTTCCCTGCTCGTTACTGTGTGATTTCCTTGTTGCTGACCCGGCTTGTTCTTGACCTAACTCTGATTACTCTCCTGCTTGATACTGGTTCCTGACTTTGGTTCTGCTCCTGACCTTGGCTTGCTTCTGATTTGGTACCTCGCTGTCCGCCCCTTGATGACCCTGCCTATTCCTTTGACACTGCTTCTGTCTCCCATCCCTGCTTCCTGCCTTGCTCTGGTGCACACCTGGCGATCTACCATACCAGCTCTGCATATCACTACTGATCCTGAATCTTAGGTTCATCATCTTCCAAAGTCTCCAACTGCAAGAGCTGCAAACAACAACATCTGCTGGTGCTCTTGTCCCCCTGGTCCCTAGACACCCTCTTTTCCACCTCCAGTGGGTCAGGACTAGTGACACAAGTGAGGCCGACCTCGTCATTTTAGTCTCCAATCAGGTACGTGACATATACATATATATATATATACATATATACACATATATTTTTTTATTTATTTATTTTTTTCTTGCCTACTTTTCACACTTAAATGATTCAGATCATCAAACAAATTTTAATGTTACACAAAGATATGCATACGTAAATGCAAAATGCAGTTTTTAAATGATTTCATTTATTAAAGGAAAAAGCTGTCCAAACCTGTCCGGCTCTATGTGAAAAAGTAAAACTCCTCCCCTCCCCCCTTTGCTAATTCATGAATGAACTGTGTGATTAACAACATTTTTTGGAAAGCTGAGTTAAATTTCACTTGCCACACTTGTCTGATTACTGCCAGACCCGTTGAATCACTTAAGTAGAAGCTGTCTGACAAAGTGAATTATGCCAAAAGGTCTCAAAAGCAACACATCACGCCATGATCTAAAGAAATTCAAGAACAGATGAGAAACGAAGTAATTGGAATGTATCAGTCTAGAAAGAGTTACAAAACCATTTCTAAGTCTTTGGGATTATAGCGAACCATGGTGAGAGCCATTACCTAGAAATGCCGTAAACGTGGAATAGTGGTAAACCTTCCCAGTAGTGGCCGGCCTACCAAAATTACTCCAAGAGCACAACGACAACTCGTCCAGGAGGTCATAAAAGAACGCAGAACATCATCTACATGAATGCAGGCCTCACTTGCCTCAGTTAAGATCAGTGTTCATGATTTAACATTAAGAAAGACTGGAAAATGGCATCCATGGGAGAGCTCCAAGGTGAAAGTCACTGGTGACCAAAAACAACATAAAGGCTCATCTCCCATTTGACAAAAAATATCTTGATTATGTCAAAGATTTTTTGGGCATATATTCTATGTACTGATGAGACAAAAGTTAAACTTTTTTGAAGGTGTGCATCCCATTACATCTGGCATAACAAGTCAAACATGGTGGTGGTAGTTACAAAAAGCCTCCTGCGCTCACAAGGACTCCTACCCTATAACCATAAGCTGATGACACTAAACTTATACCAAAAATAAGTGAATAAAAACAGTGCAACAATTATGAGTGCAGCGCTAATTAGTATCTAATAGAACCGTAATACAATATATACTCAATCCCCAAAATAAATCCAAGATACTCAATACATATACAGTGTCATGCATGTATTCCCTCATGGGGAATATCTCGTGCAAAACCGTGAAAATAAAGTAATATATACTATAATAACATATATACTAATAATAAACAGTGCCACATAAAAAGTGCACAAAAGGAATAAACGATTACCCATGCAGTACACCCATAGCATGTGGTAGGAGGCTGGAAGATTCATCGTTTTGTGAGTGGAAATCTACTTTTTTATACCTATTACCAATAAAATTTACTGGTTGCACTATGGAGGGTCTCTGCTTGTGTCTTACTATGACCCTGGGAGGAGCTGGCTGCTAAAACTGGTGGAGGAGGAAGATATTTTCTAGAGAGTGATCCATCCTGAAAGCGTGCTGGCCCCTTGGGGTCTAAGGAAGGAGGTGAGGGGGCATTTTGGCTGTTAAGGATTGTCATGTGTGAATCACGTACACTGCACATAATTTTTGCATGAAGAGTGGAGTGTGAAGTTCATCATTAAGCACAGCATCATCAGTATTATTATTATTAACTTTGGACTTTTCTCGTATTTGAACTATCGTTTATTCCTTTTGTGTGCACTTTTTATGTGGCACTGTTTATTATTAGTATATAATGTTATTATAGTATATATTACTTTATTTGTTCACGTTTTTGCACGAGATATTCCCCATGAGGGAATACATGCATGACACTGTATATGTATTGAGTATCTTGGATTTACAGTCAGGTCCATAAATATTGGGACATCGACACAATTCTAACATTTTTGGCTCTATACACCACCACAATGGATTTGAAATGAAACGAACAAGATTTTGCTTTAACTGCAGACTGTCAGCTTTAATTTGAGGGTATTTACATCCAAATCAGGTGAACGGTGTAGGAATTACAACAGTTTGCATATGTGCCTCCCACTTGTTAAGGGACCAAAAGTAATGGGACAGAATAATCATCATAAATTAAACTTTCACTTTTTAATACTTGGTTGCAAATCCTTTGCAGTCAATTACAGCCTGAAGTCTGGAATGCATAGACATCACCAGACGCTGGGTTTCATCCCTGATGATGCTCTGCCAGGCCTCTACTGCAACTGTCTTCAGTTCCTGCTTGTTCTTGAGGCATTTTCCCTTCATTTTGTCTTCAGCAAGTGAAATGCATGCTCAATCGGATTCAGGTCAGGTGATTGACTTGGCCATTGCAGAACATTCCACTTCTTTCCCTTAAAAAACTCTTTGTTTGCTTTGCAGTATGCTTTGGGTCATTGTCCATCTGCACTGTGAAGCGGCGTCCAATGAGTTCTGAAGCATTTGGCTGAATATGAGCAGATAATATTCCCCGAAACACTTCAGAATTCATCCTTCTATTTTGTCAGCAGTCACATCATCAATAAATACAAGAGAAGCAGTTCCATTGGCAGCCATACATGCCCACCACGCCATGACACTACCACCACCATGCTTCACTGATGAGGTGGTATGCTTAGGATCATGAGCAGTTCCTTTCCTTCTCCATACTCTTCTCTTCCCATCACTCTGATACAAGTTGATCTTGGTCTCATCTCTCCATAGGATGTTGTTCCAGAACTGTGAAGGCTTTTTTAGATGTCGTTTTGGCAAACTCTAATCTGGCCTTCCTGTTTTTTGAGGCTCACCAATGGTTTACATCTTGTGGTGAACCCTCTGCATTCACTCTGGTGAAGTCCTCTCTTGATTGTTGACTTTGACACACATACACCTACCTCCTGGAGAGTGTTCTTGATCTGGCCAACTGTTGTGAAGGGTGTTTTCTTCACCAGGGAAAGAATTCTTCGGTCATCCACCACAGTTGTTTTCCGTGGTCTTCCGAGTCTTTTGGTGTTGCTGAGCTCACCGGTGCGTTCCTTCTTTTTTAAGAATGTTCCAAACTGTTGTTTTGGCCACGCCTAATGCTTTTGCTATCTCTATGATGGGTTTGTTTTGTTTTTTTTCAGCCTAATGATGGCTTGCTTCACTGATAGTGACAGCTCTTTGGATCTCATCTTGAGAGTTGACAGCAACAGATTCCAAATGCAAATAGCACACTTGAAATGAACTCTGGACCTTTTATCTGCTCATTGTAATTGGGATAATGAGGAAATAACACACACCTGGCCATGGAACAGCTGAGAAGCCAATTGTCCCATTACTTTTGGTCCCTTAACAAATGGGAGGCACATATGCAAACTGTTGTAATTCCTGCACCGTTCACCTGATTTGGTTGTAAATACCCTCAAATTAAAGCTGACAGTCTGCAGTCAAAGCACATCTTGTTTCAAATCCATTGTGGTGGTGTATAGAGCCAAAAATGTTAGAATTGTGTAAATGTCCCAATATTTATGGACCTGACTGTATTTTGGGGATTGAGTATATATTGTATTACGGTTCTATTAGATACTAATTAGCGCTGCACTCATAATTTTTGCATGGTGGTGGTAGTGTGATGGTCTGGGGTTGCTTTACAGCTTCAGGACCTGGAAGACTTGCCATAAGTGATGGAACCATGAATTCTGCGCTCTACCAGAAAATATTGAAGGACAATGTCCGGCAATCAGTTCATGACCTCAAGCTCAAGCGCACTTGGGCTATGAAGCAGGGGGTTTAGGGGGCAATTACTTTTTCCACCAGGGCCAGGTAGGTTTGGACAGCTTTTTTTCCCTTAATAAATGAAATGATTTTGTATTTACTCGGGTTATCTTTGTGTACTATTAAAATGTTATTTAAAAAAAGCAATTACACAGAGTTTACACTGCAAATGTAGTACAAATTTTTCAAAAGATCAACCAATCAAGACATATTGATTAAATGAATTCTGTAGCTTAAAGACATGGCTCACTTAACATACTCTGAGAATAGTGCAGTATAGCATAATATAGCAGTAATACGAGGTATAGCTGGAGGGAAGGGCTTACATAAGAGGTAGTACCAGAATACTGACCTCAGGTGTGCATTCCTCTGCAATATATAATAATAAGGCCCCATCCAAGATGCAACTACACACTTTCTAGTAGCAATATATGTCTTTTATGCACTTCTGCTTTAAATAATGTTCTACCTTTCAAAAAAGAATCTATTGATAGTGGATGGAACATGCATTTTTCTACATCCAGAGGGCAAGACCCAAAGGCTTCCTACGGCTCTGTTGACCCCGCAGCTCACTCTTCCGACTGCCCTGTCCCCTCCACACACACCAGGAGGTCTCACTTATCCTGCAGTATTCCCTAAAACTTAAGTGGTTATAAACCTAAGACATGAAATAGGAACAAAGCATATCCCTTTATAGTAAATAGCAAGGAAGGTGCCTCTAAGTGCAGTATGCAGCAGTTTATTAAATAGCAAAAGGTTAAAAGCACTTACAAGATAGCAGTCAGATAAAAACTCTTCAGGTATAATGCCAGGGGGACACACTGAGCCAACCAGCGGCAGCAAGTGTGGTGGAACGCACGGGCAGGATGACCGCTGTACTTCCAGGATGTCACGGCCGGCGTGTGCGTTCCACACCGCTCCTGGAAATATGGCGGCCATCTTGCCCATGCGTTCCACCACACTACTGCTGGTCGGCTCAGTGTGTCCCCCTGGCATTATACCTTATGAGCTTTTATCTCACTGCTATCTTGTAAGTGCTTTTAACCTTTTACTATTCAATAACTGCTGCATACTGCACTTAGAGGTGCCTTTCCTTGCAATTTACTGTTACCAGAGTCTGCTTCCACTCTTGAAGACCTGCTCCAGTACTTGCTGTGCTCCCATGTCACCTGGTCTCCCTTTCCCTCCAGTAGATGCCCAAGATCCTTTTCTCCTGGAGGTCATACCTATGTAAAGTGCCCTATGAACACTGTTACTATATCCCTTTATAGTGTTTACTTGTCTGTACCAAGTGTCATTTCTCTCTGCTGCTTCATTCCTTTGTTATAAGCATGAGTCACTGATAAGTATTCCTGATACCAAGAGAAAAATGGTGACTGAGCAGGGACCTCCAGCAGATTGACAGCCGGAGCTCCATTCCTGTGTAGAAGGGGTGTGTCCCTTCCCTCCAATCAGCTCTCAGAGCTCTCTTCGCTGATGTAGCTTCAGCTCCCTGCCCACTACTTTTAGGAGGTCCTGTCTAAATTCTGCATTTTGAATGGATATAGGGGAAAATATGCTATAGATAAACAAGTACAACGTATGTACTAGGCTTTGTTTCATCTCTGTGTATCACCTGAGGCCAGTCACTTCACTGGGTATATGTGAGGGTTTACAACCACTTTAAATGACTACTATTCCAACAAAGACACACCCCCACCATAACAGATTTAGCAGGAGGTAAAAGGAGTTGAGTGAACTGTGCCTTCCAAAAATTATTACTGGCAGTAGATGGGATACCTGTTTTCTCTGGTGATTCTTCAGAGTGGTGTGGCAGTCTCAATTCAGCGATAATTCTGCTGATCACATTGTTGATGATCTCAGCTCCCAGAAGCAGTGCCATGTCACATACCAGCAGGGCCTCCTCCTCTGGCCTCTCCATCAGCTCTGCACAGCCACATATGCCGACTACCTTAAACATGCAGCCATAGGAGTAAGCACTCCTCCAGTCCCGGGAAACCTCCCTCCAGTTACATCCATTCAGTTTCTCCCAGCTGATGTCCATAATAAGTTCCCCCAGCTGTTTGCACTGTGCCAGGTCACCACTATAAATACAGGCAGCAGCCTCCTTTACACAGTGGACTATAGGTGCATCCACCTCTGGGCCCACATCTGCTGGGAATTCCTCTAGGCAGTTGGGAAGCACTGCTCTTACCCGAAGCCACAGTGGGTTCTGCATTTCCTGACTGATGGGATCTCTCCACACTACTGCACTGCATCCAACAGAAACAAGAAGATGATGCTATACTTGCTGGTATGTAAACTGGAGCCTTCCATAGCAGAAGACCTATGAAGGAAAAATAAAGAAAATATATTTTAAAAAAATACCCAATCTAAGTAAAAAGTGGTATACTGTTAAAGGGTAAAACACAGCTCAAAACATCAAATCCAGCTTGTATTTTTATTTCCTTGCAATAAGAAAGCAGTTGATCAGCAGCCAGATGCACGATAGCCTTGAGAATTTCTGCTTAGCCTTAATTCATAAAGATTCCAAGACAGCCTCACTCCCTGTTGAAATGTAACTTCACTTTTGTTGGAGAAAAAAAAAAACCACTCCCCTCTGGGTGATCTATGTAAAGTGCAAAGATTTAACATACTATTTCAGATTCCTACCTTTTGTTATTCTGAAGATCTAGCTGTTTGTTTGTCTGTGTCCATGTGCAGAGTGAATCTGTATGGGAGTGATTTTAAAACTATCAATCAGCTGCTGCACCTGCCAGGCTCTAATGAGGAAAACTGCAGAGTCTGCATCCCTTTGGGCATGAGTTCCCTTTTTTTAGTATCACACCAAAAATGGCATTTTTGTTGCAGGTGATGTCAAAAATCTGACTTTATATCTCAGTGCAGACTTCTGGGAAAATTAGTGAGACAACCACACAAGCAGGGAATGACATTTTTAGGGGTGGGGTTCTGTACACCATCTATGTACAGAACTCATCCAGGTAGCCATATTGCATTGAATTTTACAACAAAATTACAGCACTGCAGATTGTTATTAAAAATTACCTTTCCTTTTCAATCAATTACAATATGACTTGACTTACAATTGAATGTGCTATATTTTTTTTTTTATTATTTTCATTTCCCACGAAAAAGGAGTTACCCACTAAAAAAAGTTGTGCTAAGAAAAATACGGAGGCTGACAATTTAGAACTCCTTCTGAAAATACTATTCGCCTGGCTGCTTCCAATTTTAATACCTAATTTTATGTTTAAGTAATTTTAACAAACATTGTCAATATTTCAAAGCCTGAATCTTTTATTAAAATAACTGATGATCTTGAAAATCCTTGTTTAGGCACTCCTGTTAGAGGATGACAATGATCTGTTCGTCTCTCAACTGTGCTCCTGCCCTCCAAGACAGCTGATCAAATACAGATCGAGTTTGATTAGCTGCTTACCTGGCTATAACAGCCAACAAATGACAGCTCTGAAATCAAAAGTGACCAAATCCTCTTCGCTTCATTCGTCACAGAGGTTTTTTTAGAAAACTAATGTTCCTCCAACTCCCTTGCGGGAAGCTGTCCTGCCTGTTTACAATGGTTCCAACCTCCCTGGAGGAATGGTAGAGCTCAGGAAGCACCGCAGGCAGCAATTGAAGGGGTCCATTTCAGTGCTGTAAAATTATCACTTTTTTGGCTGAAAAAAAAATGGTACCAGGCTCATGGTTGCAGCCATGACCCGGGTATTAACCACTTGGTCTGGACAATTAAATACGTACATTTACATACAGTATGTAGTACATTTCCTGTTTACAAGAGCCTCCCTGATTTTTTTTTTTTTTTTAAAAATATTGGCAACAATGGAAGATGTCACAGCATGTGTCATTTATTCCTTATGTCTGCTGGTGCCACAGTGGCAGGTCTGTATCTCCATACAGACCTGAGATGTAAACAATGCAGAAGCCTGTGCATTGCACATGTGATACACGGATTGTGACTGCAATGCTCTGCAGGCTTTGACGTAAGAATGTAATATACGCACTTTTTTTATATTTTATTAAGGTGGGTGCATTGAATAAATTTCAAAGGTGGGTTGTGCTTTTCCATGAGCGTTCCTGTGCCTGGAATGTGGTTCATAGGCTTGGTTCACACATAAGCAATGCAAATTTCTAAGTTTTTATTTGTGCGATTCGTCAGCTGCGGTCCGATTCACTGCGGTTCAGAATACCAATATGATTTTCATGCGATTCCAATACAGTTGTGATTTCGGATTCTACTCACTTGGGGTCCCACTCTCATTATAAACAGAAGTTTTTCAAATGTGGTTTTCAATAAATTCTACGGACCTCAAAATAGGATCACACAGGTTCAAACTCGTGCACGACCCTTTCTAAAAACACACTACAGCTGGACTGCATAAATATGTGAACAACCTCCATAGGCAACCATGTTATTTCTCATGGCATCCAAATCACTGCCCTTCAAAACTGCATGTCTGAACCAGGGCTAAAGACATAGTTCCCACCTTTACAAAAAAAAACAAAAACTTACTATGCAAATGAGGAGAGTCTAAGGATAGGAAACTGTGCTGATTAAAGTGACATTAAAAGATAAATGTTTTATTTTTTTATTATTACTAAATCATACTTACCTAGGTGGATGTAGCATCGATCTGAGGCTGCATCTGTCCCCCACCAGTTCTAAGGGTGAGAACTGAGTGAAAAGACACCGCTGATTGCTCAGTTCTCCCTGCAGCTTTGAGCAGAGCACAGTGACCGTCAGTCATTGCTTTCTGCCCAACCCCCACCCCGCAGCACTCACTGGAGCGCTGGGCTGTGGAGGGGGAAGGGAGCAGTTAGCTCAGACTCTCAGCGGATCGCGGAGAGACTGGGCAAGGTTCCGGTCCAGGCTCCTGGGTGGATCCCAACTATATGGTCAGGATCCTTCCCCAGCCTGGATCGAGTGTCATCAGCCGACAGCAGACTTTAGACACTGTCGGCTGAAAAACAGGTCACAAGAGTGCAGAACGAACTGTACTCACAGGAGAAATACAGCCACACGAGCTTTGGCTGTACTTCTCATTTAAAAGGCACTTAAAAAAAAAGGTTATACCCACCTGCTCTGTGCAGTAGTATTGCACAGAGCAGGCCTGATATTCCTCTTTAAGGGGGCCCCTGCCAGCGCTCCTGGCCCCTCCCTACTGCCACAGAGCAAGCAGCTTGGTGTGGGGGCACCCGAGTATGCTTGCTCCCGAGCCACTGCTCTGCGTGTCCATTCACACATAGAACTATGTCTCAGCCCCACCCTCTCTCTCTCCACATGGCCTCACTGGCTGTGATTGACAGCAGGAGGAGCCAATGGCTCCCACTGGTGTCTTAGCCAATCAGCAGAGGGAGTCTTTGGAGAGCTGAGGTTCTTGTGCACATTTCTGGATCAGGAGGGGATTCAGGTAAGTATTGGGAGGAGGGGCTGCTGCACACAGGTTTGTTTACCTTCATGTATAGAATGCATGAAGGTAAAAACCACTTAAAAAAAGAATAATGCCCCTGCTATAGGTGTAGGCCATTTAAAGCGGAGCTCCACCCAAAAGGGGAAGTTCCGCTTTAAGGACTGCTCCCCGTTAAAGATTGGCACCTTTGGGGGGCGGGTTGGAAGCTGGTACCCAAATTTGACAGGTACCCGCTCCCACTTCCGGTCCAATCGCCTAGGCGATTGGAAGTGGAAGGTGTCTTCCTCCCTGTAGTCTTTTGGGACATGTGACAGGTCCCAGAAGACTACAGGACCATTCATGAAGCGCAGCACTACTCGTGCATGTGTATTGGGTACCCGGCTGTGAAGCCGCAAGCTGTCACAGCCGGGTGCCCACACTGAAGATGCCAGCCTCCTGTAATACAGGACGGCCAGTAAAACGGGCTGCGGGGGACACACCATGGGACCGAGGAACAGGTAAGTGGACTTATTTTTTGACAGGGTGAGCAGAACTCCACTTTAAGTACCTTATGAAGCCTAACTGGAAAACGAGGACATTGCTAAAAGAGGCTCAGCTATTACTGTTCACCTTCCCAGGAATTAACTTTTTCTCTGATTCAAACACCCTCACGTGTTCGCTCTCTCTCTCTCTCTCTCTCTCGCTCCTCTGATGCAGTAGCTCTGAGCTCAGCATTTCAGAGCTCACTCCTGTGACAGTGTATAGTAATAGCTGGGCCTCACTTAGCAATGTCCTGGAAGTTTTCCAGTCAGGCTTCAGGTTGTATGTAAATGGCTTACACCTATAGCAATGGCATTATTCATCTTTAGTCGCAGCTGCCTAGTTTGTTTTTATCTACAGACACCCTTCACCTGCATAGGCAGTTCTTTGGTAAAGGAGAGCTGTGTAAAAGAAGAACTCTGGCCAAAATGTTTATTCACTAGGGATGCACTGATACGTTGGCTGAAAATAGTGCCAATAGAAAAGAAGGTGCTGATAACGGTGCCGATACATGCAAAGTCACGTCTTGTAGACTTTCATACAATAACGCCCCCTAGTGACCTCAATGGAAAATCACGTCTCAGACTCATGCAAAGTCATGTCCCCATTAACTTCAATGCAAAAACGCTTCCTAGTGACTTCAATGCAAAATTGCATCTCAGACTTCCACGCAGTCGCGTCTCATACAGTTTCATGGAAAGTCACATCCCCATTGACGTCAATGTAAAAAACGCCCCCTAGTGACTTCAATGCAAAATCGCATCTCATAGACTTTTAATGCAAAGTCGCGTCCCCATTGACTTCAATGCAAAAACACCTCCTAGTGACTTCAATGCAAAAAAAAAATCGCACCTCAGACTTTCATGCAGTCGCGTCCCCATTTCAATGGAAAATCATGTCTCAGTCTTTCATGCAAAGTCACGTCACCATTGACTTGAATGGAAAACGCCCCCATAGTGACTTTAATGGAAAAATCGTTCTCAGTCTTTCATGCAAAGTCACATCACCATTGACTTGAATGCAAAAACGCCCCATAGTGACTTCAATGGAAAAATGCCCCGTATGGACTTCAATGCAAAATCGAGTCGCAAGACTTTCATGCAAAGTCGCGTCCCCATTGACGTCAATGCAAATGCCCCTTAGTAGCTTCAATGCAAAAAATGTCCCCTACTGACTTCAATGGAAAATCGTGTCTCAGACTTTCATGCAAAGTCACGTCCCCATTGAAGTTGATACAAAAATGCCCCCTAATGACTTCAAAGGAAAAATG